GAGAGAGAGAGAGAGAGAGAGAGAGAGAGAGAACCATTAATCTCAGATTGAGCCTGACCAAAAGGAATCTCCTGACAGAGAATGTCATAAGCCTGTTGAGGTGTTCCGAAAGTGCTAAAGCTGGAAGTTCAGAAAGTACAGTACCTGTATTCCCCAAAGAAAAATTTTCAATTGATTTTATAACTGTAGACAATTAGAAAAAGAATGATAATAGGCTGAAAAATGGCTCTCAAAACGGTATACATATCAGGACCCTAGAACTTGTAAGTGCTGTCATACATGGCAAAAAGTAGGGCCAAGCTGTGGATTTTGAGGAAAGCTACCTTGGGTTACTCATGCAGAGCCTAGATGCAATCACATAGATCCGGACAGGAAATAGGCAAAAGGAGAGGGACTGAGGAGAACGCAAGCAATGTAAGGTAGAGGGGGAGAGGGAGAGAGAGAGAGCCAGCCACAAGCCAAGGAATATTACCAGCTACTAGACGCTAGAAGAAGCAAGAAAGGATTCTCCTTTAGATGTACAAATATTCACCATCAATGGTATATATTAAATAATAATAAACATCATAGGCTTTGGAGATTCATTTATCGAAACCTAATATATATTTTAGGTTTTACTAACATAATTTTCCCCAAGAGCATTAAGCAGAAGTTTTGGTTAGAAAAAAAATGTTGAGAGTAAGTGATCTTTGATCCTGACTCAAATATGGTTTCTATGCTGCTAAGATCCGCATTATTTGCAATCATTTCAGGTACAGAGGCAAATGTCAGAAGTTAGAGATTAATGTGAAGTCCTTAAGAAGGAAAAAAAGCAAGTGAGACAGGAAAACAGGTATCTATGTACCAAGGAATAGAGTTTAGATCTATTGAAAGCACTGTATGGAGATTGTAGACTGTAAACTATAGCTTCATCATTCCCACCCAGGAAATACTGTTCTCTTGAGAAAAGTACTAAGAAGCAGAAATAGCCATCGGTGTGCTATTGTGCATGATTTACTTTTGGTATTGGCAGTATGCACCAAGACAGGGGCTACTTTCTTATCTGCCCAAGTACATTCAGAGGTCAAAACCAGAGCTTTCTAAAATCAAAGTTGTCAAAGAAACATTTTCCCAAAAGTAGTAAAGGCCTCCTGATTTCTACAGATTTCAAGAATGAAATTGTACTGTATTCTACAGTGAGAACAGCCTAAAACGTGCATCACCATTCTGCAGCTTTGATTGGCTTAAGTGAATTTTGCCTCAACAACACTGGAAGCCTCTTTAAACTTCCCATTAGGACGGAGCACTGGAAGCCAGTACTTGATTGGCTGAACAAAAGACGGAAGCCAGAACAGTCTATGTCACAGGTAGTGGAAATTTTTACCATTCGCTCAGTGATAGGATAACCATTAAAGTATGCAGTGGCTCATATGTTGAATGTTTAAGAGCCATTGCTATGAATCTATGTTCCTAAACTAAAAGCAAAATGATTGGAGTATTCCTTGATTTCTTTCGGTTGTTCTTTTATTCCACTTTTGTACATGTGTGCTTATGTGCGTTAGCAACGAGCATATTCACTGTGCGTTAAGAAAGTGGTGATGATCACAAAGGTCATCTCCACGGAGGGAGACTCAGAGCTAATGGACACAGTACTTAGTTCTCCCTCTGTCTATAACGTCAGATTCCTCTTGATTCACATCTGGAGAGAGTGAGACTCAGTTTAAATAAAGAGAGCATCTACTACAGGCCTGGCATTTGGCTAGGTTTCTGTGAACATATTATTGTCTTTAATTCTTGAAACAGCTTTGTGAATCAACCGTGGGTGTCCCTGTTTTACATCCAGATGAATCCACTCCAAAGCGCAATTCAGGGATTTTTAAATGACAGTTCCCAATCCAGTGATTTGTGTCCCGAATGGTTTCTGCCAAGTGTCCCTATTGTCCATTCTCATTTTGAAAATTTATTTCTACAACCAAGCAATAGCAAGAAGCAATATCGTTCTTCAAAGTACTCAATGCAGGGAAGAAATGAAAGGCAAGTGAGTAGTCGCCGAATAGAAAGAGGGTGTTAATTATGAAGTAAAACGTATTACTCTCTACAAAGCTCTTAGAAAAATACAAGAAAGGAAAACTGAGCTATGGTAACAATTGTAAATGAAACCCTAACATTAGCTTTGCTTTTGTTAAGACAGAACGGTTTTTACAGTTATTTAGTCCCCTTCCTATGGCAGAAAAGTAAGCCTCCTCCTGCAGCCACGTGATTTACAATATCTCCTGTGGCAGGAAGTCACCCGCGCATTGTTCTTCGGTTTGGCCACTAACATCCATTAGTCAGTAACAACTGAGTAGGAGCTTTACAGGTCCTGTAATGTTCCAGGCCTGTTCCTCTGTTCCTTGTGTAAAACTGGTGTGGCTCACACAGGAACTGCCGCTTCCTCCTCAGCCTTGCCACGGAGTTTAATTACAGCCAACGTGGGGCTGACAACATGAGAAATGATTCAGAGAAACTGGCACTGGGGGTAACTGAAAGTCGGAGTTGTGACTGGGACGTTGCTTTTCCCGAGCTGATTTACACATAGCTATTCTTCTTCTTTCTTTAGCAATGTCTGTATTATCAAAAGAAAATGATTCTTAATTTCAAACCCTAACCCAGACAAGCTCATGACTAGATGTGATGGTTTGAAAGCCATTTTTAGGCACGCTTTGCCTTAAAATTTTACCTTGAATACCTGCTTCCTCAAGAAGACACTGGGAAATACATCCCAAAAGGTTGAGTGACAAGCAAACAATGAAGGAGAAAGGAGAGCCAAAAAGGACAACATGCAATAGAAAGAAAAACATAGGCTACAGGAAAGTGATAAAGAGAGACGGCGAGGTGACATCTGTATATTGTTAGTAAGAATTGCCGGAAAACTCCAGGAGAGATTCCTTCAGAAGCATGAAATTGACAGAACACCCGACGTGTTGAACACGTTGTGTACAGATTTATCCCACTGGATGAGAGGCTCAGTGTTATTGATTAAAAATAGGGAACTACACAAAAGAAGGCAATAAAAGGCAAAATAATTCTTAATTCCAGGAAAGGAAAAAATGCTGTGGAGGGAATTAAAAGTAATCATTTTTCAGCTGTGAAGAGTCAAAATATAAACAGTGAATACTGATTCATCCAAGACTGCAGCGTGCTGCATTGAGAGCGCATATAAATGGGAAGATGGTGCTCTGTGTTAGAACTGGGACTGAAGAGGTCATAAAAAGAACTAATCTTTCTTATAAGGAGTTAGTTGATAAGATATAAAGCTGAAAAATCAAGGAATGAAAATGCATGCACATTCCTTTGAATGTTTATTTATGTTGTAAATTCAAGATCATTCACTTGAAAAGTTGAACATTGCTGCCTCCGAAGAACTGAGACGGGGTGAAGGCCACAGTGCTGTTTCCTGTTAACAAGCCTCGTAGGAAGAGCTACACGCATCTTCGAACTGCGTGTCTGTAAAACTGTGATGTAGGCAAACCCTAATTTGAATAAAAATTTATTTTCAACTAAAAGGATTACATTTGGAAGGTGATATCAGGTGTTCGGGAAAAAAGAGACAAAGTATTTCACTTTCACAGTATTTCCCTACGCTTTATTTTTCTAAGTCAAAATTGCATTTTCAGACCTGTGGGTTGCCTAAGAAAATGCATGCCCTTTCACTTGATCTCAAGCTTTAGTGTTAACTTCCTGAAAATTTTGCACCTTGGTTTTCTCAGGCAAGAGCAAACACCTCTACAGTGGAAAACCAAAACCACAAACAAAAAACAATATCAAAAAGCCAATCCCAGGAACCAGATAAAAAAATACAGAATCTATTCACCTCCTTAGGCTCCTTTATCAAAATAAGAGATCTTGAAACCTGAGCATATTTAGAAATCCAGACCCCTGCTGCTCTCTCCTTTCTTTGAGATTCATTTTTCTCTAGCTTATAGCATGTTGCTAACCAGCTGTGGCTTGGAAGGTAGGGTTTCCCTCCTATCCAGATAGTCACTGGATAACAGGGCTGCATACTGAGTGCCAAATTAAAAACCAGCATTCCTTAGGAGCATGAAAAGATGGAAATAAAGTGGTTTTAGATGGGGAGGGGAGGAGTGGGTAAAGGGAGGGCAGGGACAAAGGGAAAAAATGAGAACCAAGACTTGTCATATAGAGGTACAAGATCCCAATAATAAATGTAACTGTACTGTATCCCTAAAATGCACCAATAAACTCAATTAAAGCTGAAAAAAAAAACAGCATTCCTGAAATTAATTCAGAGGAGAAGGAGCAAAATTTCCTCCAGACTGTGTGTGCATGCGTGTGTGTGTTCACGCATGTGTGTGTGCGTGTGCGTGTGTGCCTGGGAGCATGTGCATATGGAAGATTGCTTGAAGGCAACAAGCAAGGTTTACACCAGGGTGTCCATAGCTGTGTCAACCCTTTTGTGAAGCACCTATTTCAAAGGCAAGCCTTGATTCTAAGTCTAGAAAACACAGCAGAGCAAAGTGATCACTTAAAAAGCTGTAACTTAAATGATTCCATCATCAAATGGATTGTACCCGGGCATGCGTGAGCTTGTACACACACACACACACACACGCACACACACACACCAGTGTAACACATTCACATAGAATTAGAAACTTTCGTGTCTTCCTTCAGGAAGTTAAGCCTCAAAAATTGTTCTGCAGAGGGACATGGTGCTAAAGGACATGATTTGACCAATCTTTTTCTTGCAAAAGATCTTGTTTCACTCCAAAAAGACACAGCTGAAAGGACTGGAAGGGAGACATCCTTTCTTGGCCATTCGTAGAACAGTCTGTGTACTGAAATGGCAAACTCCAAATATAATTTCCGTAGTAAAAGTGAATCCATCTAAAAAACAACACTTCTGGTGATTCTCTCTTTAATTTCTGGTACGTATTCTCTGAGAGATTGTTCAACATGAAAAACCTCTGCAATGAGGTTTCATGGAAATATGGGATTTTAGTATTAGAGCTGGCAGGAAACTTGAAGATACTTCAAAAGCTGAGGGATCACAGGGAAGAGATGTGAGAGCAGAAGCTCGGGAAGGCAACTTTCACAGCTGCACAGTTACAGAGCAGAAGTGCGTGGACTCCCTGGCTTCTCCTCCATTGCCATGAGCGAGCCACTCAGAATGAGAGGCCACTTGTTAGAAGCGGGGGAAATACCGGGTAACAGAAGGATCACCTGTTCTCCATCATCAAACACTTCCTGCCTGTAGCACAAAACACTGCCTTGCTATCAGGGTGAAATTCTATAAATAAAGGGCATTTTGTGTAGAAAACAATCTCCCAGCTTTGCCCAAAGAGAGAGACAAGATCATGCCCATATTTGTATTGTTTTAAAAAGCACTCATTAGAACAGGTTTACTTAGTGTTCCATGATATTACTGAAGGGATGAGTTAAGGAGAAAGTCAGGTGCACCCCTGAACGTAATAAGGGAGCCCCTCTGGTGGGCTCTGCTTTCCTTCTTCTGTAGGCAACTTCCTACCAACATAAATTGAAGGAGTAAGGGGAACTCTACTTGAGGCCAACATTTCCCTCGCTTTGAAGGCCTCTTTTCTCAATAGAATAACATCGTATCTATTTAATAAAATGAAGATTTAGGAGTTTAAAAATGCAGAATATTTTTATAAGAGAGCAAAATAATCTTAGTGCAGAGTATGTTCTGGGAGGTAGGATGCAGGTGCGTGTTACAACACTAATCCTTTATTTTTATTTATTTGTTTGTTTATTTATTTTGGGTACCAGGGATTGAACTCGGGTCCTTGCACTTACAAGGCAGGCCACTGAACCACTGAGCTAAGTCCCCAGCCCTCAACACTAATCCTTTAAATCTGTGTGAATATGTTCAATCTCTTCTAATCCTTTCCTCTTTGACTCCATTTTAGAGCCTCAAATTTCATCTGGTGGACCTTTACTTGCAAATACTGTTTGCCTCTAAGACGCCTAAGTATTTCCAATATATGTATTTCCAGCAAGCACAGTTTGTAGCCGAATTGAGGAAAACCAAGTAGGCGTAGACAAGAGTTCACAGTCCAGGGTTCTCAAGGGGCACGATGCGGCTGGAACTATGCAGTGTTCTGAGCTGCCAGTATCCAAAACTGTTTAAAAGAGCATCACGGCAAGAGTGTAATCTCAAACCCACACAGTGCAGAAACCAAACTTCAGGAAATCAGGCTGTAGACATTAAGAGTGCAGGAATGGGTTGCTGATCGATCCGCTTCTTTTTTGTGACAAATGCTTTCCCCCAGAGGGTTAGCAGCATGGAATCAGGTGTATTTGCTGTGCTTCTCTGACCCTGGCATGCAAATGGAAGCCCAGGTCCTTGTCACCTCATTGATCAGGGGACATTTTGTGGTCAAAGAGGAAATTATCTATGGAACATCTTCAAACATTGCCCAGAAAGAGAATTTAGATAATGCCTATTTTTCTCTGCCCTGAAAATTCTCCCCCTCTCCCTCCCTCCATTCTTCCCCCCACCCTCTCTCTTTTGAATTCCCAGAGAGCCACAGTCCTCTACTGTGCCCAATGCCACTTTTTTTTTTTACCTTGGGCAAAATCTATTCTTATGCCACACATGAAGCCCAGTTACTTTTGAGTGTGGCACATGATGGCTGAATGAGCTCACCAGACCAGGGCACAGAGATCTCTGCTTTCTTCCCTAGTGGAGCTTCCTCCTGCCCGAGGTCAGCACACTTTGCGGAGAGATTGAACATGCACATCTGCCTATGCAGCTGCCGAGAGGCCGCGGTGCCCTTGTTCTTTAACAGATCAGGTATGCTTATTACTTTACCCCGAGGAGAAGCATCCTGTCCTTTGGCTTCCTGTCAATGACCACAACCCCTTCCATCCACTGTGGAGTTGCAGATGCATAGTCTCATCACCAGGTAATTATTTCAGTTTTTTTTGGGGGGGTACCAGGGATCAAACTCGGGTCCTTGTGCTTGCAAGGCAGGCAGCAGAACCACTGAGCTAAATCCCTGGCCCCCAAATTTTGTTCTGTTTTTATTTTTGTTTTTTTGTACCATGGATCCAACCCAGGACCTTGCACTAAATCCCCCCGTCCTTTTTTCTTCTAAAAATAGTATGATCATTAACACTGTCCAGTCTGATTATAGTCCTGCTCCTGGGTGATCAGTTACAGCGGACTTGTATTCGATTGAAAGGGATTTCTAGCATGTCACCTCTCCCATCCCAGCATCTTTTTCCTTTTTCTTTAACGTGACAAGTGACATTTCCATCCACATTTGTTTCAAAGATGTTAGGCACTCTATGGAGATAGGTAGATATGCAGAAGGTTATTACGGTCCCTGCTGAATGTCCACCCTAGGGTCTTACGAACCTTGTTTCTTGACCACTAACCTCCCTGCTTGCTGCCTTGGTTAATGGCAGGGGAGGACTGGTGTGACGTTCTCATCAATCAGGAATGGGTTTTACTTGAAATTCCAATCCATGTCTTTGCATTTTGGTCTCTTTTGAATAAAAATAGAAAGCCCAATTTGCACAGACTTTCAATGCATTCCCTCTATGTTTCTCTCCTCTTCCTTGGCATTTTGCTGAATATGCACCTCAGAAAGAATTCAAGGCTGCCTTGGCATGTGTTTGATGAATAGGAACCTATGAGGCTTAATAAGTGGCACCAGAACGGACAGACACCGAAGGGGAAAAACAGGTCTGTGTTGATGGATGTCTTTCCCCAGGGGACTTGGGGCACTGCTGAGATGCAGTTTTTCCAGCAAGTGGTAAAACGGAAAGATAATTCAAGGAAGTACATGCAAGGCAGGGTGTGTAATGTAATTCCTTGGCAGCAGTGAGTGTGCAGACAGAATTAGGTAAGTAGCTGCTTCTCAGGGTGCCGGAACGATAGAGTGGCGAGGCAGTGTCCCCAGGAAGGCACGCACTGAATGGAAACGCAAAGCCAGGTTCATCTAGCAAAGTGACAGGGCCATGTACGCACCGGGAGACCGGCTAAACCCCCACCAAGGCGTGGGCTTTCAGTGTTTCTCTTTGATCTTTAATTAAAGAAAAAGGGGAGAAAGAAAAGCAATAAAAAAGATTTGTAATCATCATGTTTAGAGGAAGCGAAAGCCGTAAAGTGATATAACAACTATTTTCTAAAAAATTAAACGCAGTCGTTCATATCACACGATGTGGGCATCGTAGGTGCATTCCCTGAGCTTTGGCTGCCTCATGGCCCTGTTTTATTATTATTTTTTTAAAGATAGAAACTCTTAACACTGTTTTAGAAGGGTTATGTATCCTGTCCTCCCCCGTATGCCTCATTCTGCCCGTTTCCTTTCTGTCCTTTGCTTTCTGACAAAGGTTGGGGACTTTCTAAATGAATTTGTGTCTGGGTTGAGAGAGTTATGCATTAAGCATGTTTTTCCACTCTGGTGCTTTGATGTGGGGGACTTGCTGACCCCAGAGAAAGTGCTCTCTCTAGAGTTTGCTAATTCCTAGGCATGGCAAATCACTTACGGGTGTTTATGTGAAAACTTTTCCCTTTTAGGATCCGTGGTCCACTGCCTCACCTACCAGGCTCGCACACTCAGGGTCACCATCCCCTTGTCTTAATCACCCTAAAGCCATGTCTCAAGCAACCAGGAGCACCCCTACATCTCACAGCGCAGCGAAATCACCAAAGCAGCAATGTGACTCCTTTACCCTGCGGGACCAGTTCCTCCCCGGGAAACAATGATAAAGGTTCTTGCCTACATCATCCCCTCCTTTCCCTGACCTCCTGAAAGAGCCTGGAATTTCTCCATCTGGCCCAGCCTGTGTGGTGTGATGCCTCCTCTCCAGAACTGTGTGAGTCCCCAGAACTGTGTTTTGTCACTGGAACAAAATACCTAACGTACAGAACTTTAAAAAGAAAGGTTTTGGTTTAGCTCACAAGTCTCAGAAGTCTCAGACCATGGTTGGCTGCCCTCCGGTGGAAACATGGCGAAAGGGTACAACAGAAGAAAGTCACTCAACCCAGGCAGCCCGGAAGCAGAGAGCGGAACAGTGCCACAGAGAGGAAGGGGCCGAGAGGGAGAGTGAATCCTTCCGGGTCACAGCCCCGGTGACGCCCTCTCCTAACCAGGCCCCACTCCTAACAGCACATTCGGCTAAAAACTCAGCGATGGGTTAACCCACGGAGCAGAAGAGCGCGGGGCCATCTTTTCAAAACTTCATCTCTGAACACGAGGCTCGTGGGGAGACATTGCAGATTTAAATCATAACAGGACTGGTGAGTAGCACACTGTCATTTTGGTGACAGTCAACTGATCTGTGACCTCCTCCGACATGAATAATAATAAAAACCGCATTTTACAACAGGCTTATAAACTTCCTGTAATTTCAGCTTTGCCATAATTGACCATGGGAATGAGGAGAGATTTTGTTGATTAGAGATAATCTTCCCACTCTTTGTGCCTATCAAAAAAAGTCTTTTTGATGGAACTCACTCCTCTAAACTCTGACTAAAAGAGCTCCAAAGCTAAATTGGAACTTTATAGACTCTCCCGTAGAAATAACATAGCAGTGACCCCCAAATTTTCTTCATCTTCATCTGCAATTCACCAGCAGGAAAAAAAATAAATGATTACAGGATTGGAGAAAGATATATGCAAGAATGAAAGCCACTTTGGAAGGCTGACTTAGAGTGTTAGAAGCAATCATATCCTAAAAAGCAGCCACTGTAACTACACCTATAACTACATCATCCCGAAGACTGGAAACTTCATAATCACCATGCATTATGCATGAGGAACAAAGCATACGTTGCCTACCAGAGTCACTTCTCTCCCCTGCCCTTAGAGACAGGGCCTGCAAATCTAATGGGAAGGCTGTCCGGTTACCATGGGAACCAGCTGGGAGTGGCCAACGTGGACGGGAAATCTTAATCACTTTAACAGAAGGTAACGTATTAATAGAGTTTTGCCTGAAGGAGAGTGCCACTTCATGCTATAAACAACACCACAATAGATCAATTTAATACTTTAAGATATTGAATGTTTTATCTTTTATTTTCACTTTTATCGAGTACTTACAATCCAGGCATTCTAGACCCTGCAGATTCAAACTGGAAAGAAATGCAGTCTCTGTGTCCCAAAGGATTCACTTCCTCAGGTCCACGCATGTACAGTCCCACTCACTGGAATGGGCACAGTCCCCTGTCACAAAGTGTGTTTTGGGAGCCCACAGGGAAGGATTTGGCAATGCCCAAGGTGTTCGGACAGGGATTCAGAGAATAGCTCAGAGGAACTGGATCCTGAAAGGTCCTAAAAAAGAAAGCTCTTATGGACTAACTTGAGTCCTCCCTAACTAAAATGCTGGAGCTCTAATCTGCAATGTGACTGTGTCTCTAAATGGAAACCTTCAAGGAGGTAATTACACATCAAGGAGGCCATGAGGGTGGGGCTCTAATCTGATAGGACTATCACGGTTTCCTTGTAAAAAGAAGAGAGACACCAGGAGGTGCGTGCACAGAGAAGCAAACATAAGAGGTCAGTTATTTGAAAACCAAGGGGAGAAAGCTGCTGGCATCTTGACTTTGGATTTCCAAGCTTCAGAACAGTGAGAAAAAGATTTCCATTCTATAAGCCATTCAGCCTGTGGTGTTTTGTTTCACAGCAGCCCTAGCTGATGGATAGATAAGACACAAGGCAATGAAGAAAGTGCAGGATTAGCACACTTGGAGGAGAGATTCGCATTTCCAGACGGCATTTGCAGAGGGAGTCGTGAAAAAGTCCCCGAATTCAGAGTCTGGAGAGAACTTAGGGAGTTAGGAGCCAAAGGAACTGCAGAAAACTGGAAAAGCGAGGCAGGCTACTGAAATGGTTGGGCAAAGGCCTTGAATGGTAAAATAAACACGTCCTGACTGATTGCCTTTGTAATAGGGCACCGACAGAAATGTTCAGCAGAAAATTAGCATGATTTCATTTTAATGGATTTTGTTAGAGAATGTGAGAGAAATAAAACGGACAGCAAGACGCGGTGCAGTGTAGAAGGGAGAACAAATTAGGGGTGAACTGAGAAAGCAAGTGACCGTCAAAGGCTGCAGGAATCAGCGTTACTTAGATTTCAGACTTTGAACTTCAGTGTGACTCCCTGAGAACCCGACAGCACTCTAGTTCTTCTTTTAAAGGTAGTTTGTCTTTTCCATCTGACTGCTCTTAAGATTGCAGCTTTGCCTTAATGTTTGCAATAGCATAATATTTACTTGCATGTTTCTTTTCCTATTCATTTTTATTTTCAGTAGCTCTGAATGTAAGGATTAAAATTTTTAATGAATGTTTCAACACGCTAGCCTTTGTTCAATCTTCATACATCCCGTAATCCCTACTCTTTGTCACTTTCTGTGGGGCTGAGCACAATGGCCGACACCCACACCTCAAGGGAGGAGAGGTTTATTTTGGCTTGCAGCTTCGGCTTTGCTCTTTATTTATACTTTGGGTTTTTCATATAAGAGGAACTATTGTGTGCTTCAGTCTGGAGAATTCCTTCAGAATTGTATTCTAATTCTTTCATTCTCATTTTGGCGACACAAATTTGTCTGACACAAATTCTATTCCATTCTTTTTGAAAGCTTTGTGGTAATCACATAGGTATTCTCTTCTTAATCAGAGTTTTAAATCTCTTCTTTTATGTCTTTAAGGGCATTATATCCATTTATTTATATTCTGTATTTAAGAATTTTAGTATTTTTTTCCTCACATATAATTATGGTACTCTGTGTGTGTGTGTGTGTGTGTGTGTGTATAGTACGTGTTTTTTTTTAAACTTGAGAGGGTTGATTGAATTTAATCTACCATGTTACCAAATGTACAACTGAATAAATCATTTTTATAATCATTTATGGGGTTGAATGCATGGACTTTAGGGTCAAGAGTAAATGTGAAAAGTGGAAGAAAAAGCTTTGGCGTGACTCCCAGGCTGATACCATGAATTAGATTTAAAGCTACGTTTAGAGAGGTAGAGTCCTGTTTTGAACAGATGAAAGTCCATTGAAAGGTATAAATGGTGCTTCTCTTCAGAACGGAGGTTACAGACTCAACCATACATTTGGCAATATGTAAGACACCGGCAGTGATTGAGCCCATCAAGTGAGCAATGTCAGGCAGTGGGCCAAGTAAAAACAGGTATGAAGTAGATTAAAGGACAGGAAACCAGAAGAGCAGGTTTGGAAACCACAGAAGAGTCAACGATGTAGCGGGTCCAGAAGTCTGTCAGCAGTTCAGGGATCAGTGGAAGACCACATTTCTATGCCGAGAGCATGAGTAACATTTAGAAACATGAATAGTTCAAATAGGCTTTGATGAGGTAAATATTTATCGATGAATCTTGGCATCAGATTTATTTTCCTGAGTTCAAGGAACTCAACGGCCAAAGAAAGAGAGTGGCAATTTTCTAAGGAAAAAAAATGGAGTTAAAAGAAGAAGTTTGTAGACTTTTGTATTATTATTATTTGCTTTTTCTAGGGATGGATCATATTTATAAGCGGAAGAAACCAGGACAGGGAGGAAGGAAAGATTCGAGATGTAGGAGAGAGAAGACGATGCTGAAAGTGTTTGAGGGATTTGTGTGTGGGATGAACCCCAACTGCCAGGGGAGAAATCAGACCAGAGGGGCAGAGGCGCCTCTCCGGAAGAAACCAAGGTAAAGGAAGTGAAGAGGGCCTTAGAGATGACTGGATTATGAGAATAGTTGAAAGTGTCCCTCCCTGACACTTCCCTTTCTGTACAGTAAGTTCAAGGCTGAAAGCAAGAATGATGGGAATAAAAGACCGAGACACAAAACAGAGGATTTTGACAGCCATGTGACCAGGGAAAAGGCAAATGACCAGAAAGAAGGAAAATAAGTACTAAGCTCTGTCAGGCAGCTTTCAAACTGTAGCAGGCATCAGAACCACACGAAGAGCTTGTCAAACACAATCTGTTGGACCTTAGCCCCAAATATCTAGTGTGGTAGGTCTGGAACAGGACACGAAAATTCGCATTTCTAACATGCTCCTATCGGTACTGACACTGCTACTCTAGGGACTCCGTTTGCTATTAAAATAAAAGTGATTAAAGCCAGGCGTGATGGCGCACGCCTGGGATCCCAGCACTTGGGAGGCTGAGGCAGGAGGATCGCTGTGAGTTCGAGACCAGCCTGGGCTACATAGTGAGTTCCAGGTCAGTCTCAACTACATAGTGAGACCCTGTCTCAAAAAACCAAAAATAAGTAAATAAAACCAACAAAATAAAAGGAATTAGAAAACATTTCCACTGCAGAGAATTAAAGGGTGCAATTTATGATTGATCAGGTGGCAAAATCTCACGGTACCGTGTCTACATGTTTGGATTGGTGTCTTCAGAATTCCCCACCACCGTTCAGGCTCTTTCCCTAGCAGGGAAGGCCTTTTCCTCTCCAGCCCACGAATAGCTCTACACATCATCCAAGGTCGAGTGCTACCTTCCCAGGGCCTGGTCTTTCCCCTCTCGCTTTGGAAAAGTCTGCGCTCTGCTTTCTGCACGCACATAATCTGCGCTCCTCTCTTAGTTTGCCTGGCATTTGTTGTTATTCTTCCAGACGCCTGGGCACCCACACCCCGGAACTGTGTGATGATGTCAGGCACAGAGTCCCCTTTAGCTTCACGCACCCGCTATCACGGTTAGCAGTGTCTGGCACAGCGAGGTACCCACAACCATGGCTGGGACTAAACAACAGGCAGGCTCACTTAGCAGACTGCTTAAGAGACTTCGAAGCTTCCAGCCAAACAAGCAAGAGAACATTAAGTCAGAGAACATCAGAATAAAATTTCACTTTACATGATTTGCCTCTTCCCCCTTGACAGAAGCTCTTATTAAAATAACATTAGCTGAAAAATATTTCTGTGCCAAAAGCAATTATGATAATCTTTCCCTGCATTTATTTAATTCTTTTTATTCTAAAAGTTCATGGTGCACAGGCCTCAGCTCACAAGGAAAGCAAAGCGCTGAACTGGACTTGAACTTCTCATTTCTTTGCTAGACAAGCTCTGTTCTCTTCTAACTCATCTGGGAGCCCATTAGTATTGCAGATGTCTGAGTTTAGATTTCTGCATTTGACGTCCTCAGCAAATCCACGTGGGCATGGATTCAAAAGAGAGGTTTCGATTAGTTCCCCTTAAAGGATGAAATGCTGTTGTCCCTCGCAGGATGCTCTCATCTTTAACAGGTGATTAAGGTCCTCTAGGCTCACATGGCTTTTCAGTCTGTTTCAGCCAATTATGGTACTAAATAAAAAGCAAAAGGGTGGGGGGGGAATGGAAAGCAGGAACTGGGTATGGAGATACCTCAAAAAACTAGGGTTTGAGTTCCCATTTGACATAGCTATTCCCCTGCTGGGCATCTTCCCAAAAGAATCACACCACAGTGACATATGCACACCCATGTTTATAGGCGCAGTTTGTAATAGCTAAAGCTTGGAAAAGCCCAATTTCCCATCTACTGGAGACTGGATAAAGAAGATGTATCAATGTGTTCTTCACGCTTTTCTACTGGTAAAGCAGTCTGTTTCTTGGACTGATTTGCAGTGTACTCTCAGACATCACCCATTGGGTTTCTGCACCCCAGAGGGCTTTCAGCCCCCTTTCCACTGGTCTTAATTCCCTCCTTCAAGGTTTCAGAAAAATGAATGACATACACCTGTATGCACACATCATCTGCGACTGATACCATAGACCCTATAATTGGTTTTTGTTCCTGACTTCCACTGCACAGTTTCAGAACTTCTTGGATTTTCCACAGCGATATGAAAATATTTTTCACACCAATGAGATAATTCACAGTTGGCCCCTGGAGAGTTCCAGATGGGGAGGTCACATGATCCAGAAAGACAGATCACATGATAAAAAGGTTAGAATGTGGGGCCAGCCTTGCCTCTGGGGAGGGGAGGGAACATGGCCCTCAAGTTCAATCCCGTGGTGAATGACTTACTGAATTATGTCTACATAATGAAACTCCAACCACTTCCCTGGACACCCAAACGCCCTGTTTGGTAATAGACTGATGTACTGAGGGGTAACATGCCAGGTTTCCACAAGGAATAAGAATAGGAATGCTGTACTCCTCCCAGATCTCACCCTATGTGGATCCTTATCATAAAACCGTCATAGTATGGAGAGCTCTTTTAATGAGTATTGTGAATCAGTCTATACAATTATCAAATCTGAGATGGTCATGGAAACCCCTGAATTTATATCCCATTAGCTGGAAGTGTGCACTGCCCATGAATGCCACACAAGACTGGCCTCCGAAATGAGTGCAGTCTGGTGTAGAAGTTATCCCTTAACTGTTAGGGTCTATAATAGTCCAGGTGGGTAGCGACGGAAGAAAATCATGTGCTGCACTCCTGTTAGGGTTTCAACAAAACAATGGCAGAGTAAGGTCTGGCTGACTTCTTTCATAAGCTCTTGTGATGACTAAGCCTAACTGTCCAATTAATTAGTTTGAGATCAGCCTACGGGATTAGTAAAAGATGCTTCTAAATTGTGTCTAGGTGTGTGGCGGAGGTGTGACCTCCAGTCTACATTTTTTCCCCGGGACCCCTTTGTTGGGAGCTGTCCCCCTGCTGTGCTTCCCAGCAGACATCATGTGAACAAATTTTCCTATTTCTGTTTTGGAGCCAGCCAACTACAGACTGAATGCTCCAAAACTGTAAGCCAAATGAAACCTCTCTCCCTTTACGTTGTGCATGTCAGCTTTTTTTTTTTTAATTTATTTATTTATTTTTTACTAGCAATGGGAATTCAGTTACCTCTCACCTCTATAGCCACGGACAGGGTTATTGCTTGATGTACTTTGGAGAGCAAGGCCCAGTGGTCTTTTCCATTTGTTCTATGTTGCATAGCCAGGAGAGATGGGAGCTGAATTAAATTTAAATGAATTCTTTCTTGCTGTAACATCACCTGTAAACCATCATCAGATATGTGAGAGCCCCCTTCCCTCCTGTTTGAGACCTGTTTTTGAGGATAGAACTTCCTTCCTACCTGGCTTCTCTAAGAGACTTACTTTTTTGTACCAACCAGCTGGGTTTCTCAAAATCAACTGTAGAAGCCACTCATCAAAATAAGCCAAGGCATTCACTGAAAAGATTGGCTCCAGACACATAGACAGAGAGTGTGGAATCTTCGTGGAGGATGCAGAGAGTCAAAATTAGCTCCAGAGTTGGTTCTTGTATACACAGTCATATAAACAAAGAACATCCTCTCTGTGTACCTGATAGTAAGACCAAAAATAATAATCTGCCTTCTATGAGATATTGAGACCCTGAGCCTTGTGATAATTTTTTTTCTCTTTGGCCTAGACCTTATTTTTCTAATATAAAAATATTTAGCAGGAAGATGTGCTTTTGATTGTCCAAAATAATGTAACGTTTATCTGATTACAAAATAGTATGTCAATGACAGTTGCCTATGCTTAGTAGGATTCAGGGTGCTGGTTTAACTAGCTATGGATAAATTTAAAGTTTTCAAGACCCTCAAGTCCTGGGCTTGGGTTACCTGCTTAAGATGTAATAATTAGATAAGGTTTTATATTTCAAGAATCTAAGTCGCAAGACAGAATACACGCACCTGCATGGTGTTTTTTTTGTTTTTGTTTTTTTTTTGTTGTTGTTGTTGTTTTGAGACAAGGTCTCACCATGTAGTTGAGACTGACCTGGAACTCACTATGTAGACCAGGATGGTCTTGAACTCACAGCGATCCTCCTGCCTCAGCCTCCCGAGTGCTGGGATTGCAGGTGTGCGCCACCACACCAGGCCTATGGTGCTATTTTAAAGCATTGATCTTTTGTGAATTTTAATGCTAAGGTATATGATGTGGGAGACAGTGACTGGTCATTTATGAAACATGTTAAGGCTGCAAAAGTTGTGTGAGGGGAAGATGATCTTAGTTGGAGGGCACTAGGAAAGGAAATGTCTCAGAAAATTTGACATAAGGATTCCGGGGTGGGGGGGCATATGACAAACATTATTAAAGCGGTCAGTCACAGGGGCACCTGGCTCTCTGTATGCTTCGTTAAGAAAAGAGGACAACAGTTCTACCATTAGTGGAGGGACGGTGGCCAGTCTCATATCTACAGTATGCTTAATTGAGAGAAATAAAATAGCAAAAAGGCCTTTATATTTGATTTCAAAAAGCATTCATTTTTACCAACATAATCTTTTAGTTTGGTTTAGATAAGGATGAGAGCTAATACAGAGCCCACTTAGATTTTTAACTTTACGCATATTTTAAAGGGAATATCAGTAAAAAATTAAGTTAAGCAATTAATTAACAAGATAATAATGACAAGACAATTATGGCTGCAGTTAGCCCAACAGAATATATGTGCATTATGTGACCCCCTTGCTGGTTTATAGTATCGTCCTTAAGAATGTGTGGGACTTTCAGAGAATTAAAAATGCACGTGCTGCCCACATGGTGGCGCTGTAGGTAGACGTCCTGCAGGAGTTGGGATGCCAACCTCATTAGGACACAGTGCGGCCTTAGGAAAGTTTGCGAGATGTTTGGGTGGCCTCCGGCAGTTCTTCACCACACAACATTAAAATGCTGTAATAACTTAAAAGAGTGAGTAATGCTACTGGTTTGGGTTTGGAGGAAGTCAAGAAACAAAACTGTCTCCCAAAGATT